ATGGGAAATGTTACGATGTTCCTAGGAGTGACTAGGACAATTTTATTAATTAGCGGTGTCTTTTGTAAACCTTCAGGACACGAATAGTTTATTGTACAGACTTTTCTAGAAATGGCGATATAAGAAGAGAATTTTTCATGACTCGAGCTGAAGAAGGAAATGACGCGTGCAAGCTGAGAATTATGCGTGGTTTCTGGTAATATAGCGAAGGGCTTTTAGGAGGATTTTCTTAAGCCATCATTTTCTTTAACTATATCGCCATTTTCTTTAGGGAAGAAATTATTGGTAATATATCGCAAGGTGAGGACTCTACGATTTTGGGACTTTGGGAGTTAGAAATTTTTGCATTTTGAAGGTTGGAATTTAAGAAGTTTGGGATTTTGAATATTGAGGACTTAAGAAGTTAGGGATTTTGAAGGATTTGGGACTTAAGAAGACAAGGATTTTGAAAGTTTGGGACTTAAGAAGTTAAGGATTTTGAAGGTTTGGGACTTAAGAAGTTAAGGATTTTGAAGGTTTGGGACTTAAGAAGTTAAAGATTCTGAAAGATTTGGGACTTAAGAAGATATGGATTTTTAAAGTTTGGGACTTAAGAAATTAGGGACTTTGAAAGTTTGGGACTTTGAGAGTGTGTTAATTAGAAAGTTTGGGACTTTTATAATAGCAACATTAAAAGTTAGGGATTTTGGGATATTGGGCCTTCAAAAGTTTGGGACTTAGAGAATTTGGAACTTAAGGAATTTGAAATTTCAAAACTTTCGAATTTTTGAAGTCTGAGAGTTTGAGATTACTTTGGGACCGCGATATTTCTACACTGAATTTTCTGTGCTATACTTTGGAACCTCACCATTTTGGGACTTAGGAACTAAGGAAATTTTGTAATTGTGGGTCTAAAATATCATAGAATAGGTCTGTGGTACTTTGAATTTCGTAACTTCGAGATTGGAGAATTATGGGACTATAGAAATTTTGGGACTGCAGGACTAAGGCCCTTTGAAATTTTTAGATTGTAAATGCAATATTAAAACTGTGATGCCAAAGAATTATGGAATGAATTTTGGGATCTTAAAACTGTAGAATATTGGACATTGGGACCATAAAACTATAGTACAACTTTGGGCCCGAAGAGCTACAGAATACTACAACTTTGGGACCGTAGAATCACAGAAATTTTTGAACTTGAAAATTCTGAGAAAAAAGTTTGAAATTTAGGATGTTTGGACTGTGGGACTCACTAACCATAAAATCTTCAAATCTCAAAATTATGGGCCTTACAAAAATTTTGTGTACACGTTTTTAAATTTTCTTATTTTGGGACTAACTACTGTACTATAATAATATATTGACTCCAAATTCAAATAATAAAAAGCAACTACCTTCTATATAAATAAGACCTCATCAAAGCAAGAAATGTAGATATAAATTTCCCTAGATCAGTTCCCTAGATCACTTTCTGTGTCCTTAAGGTTTATCAAGCATCACCGGCAATATAAAGAAATATGAATTAAAGGCAACTTAATGTTGCTATGCCCGTTATAGCATCAGCGCGCGCACAGGGGGGCGGGGCCTAAACTACCCGCGTCACATGACTGGTCCGGGCAGCCCGAGGGCATCGAGTTCAGCAGGCCCGCTTCATAAGCTCTCTATGCAAGCGACAGATGATTTCCGTGTTCGAATTTTGCCACAGCGTTAAATCAAAATAATTCTGAGTGTCCATATAGCGAGGGAACAAAACGGAAGTGTTGCACGTTTTCATAAAAATTCAAACTGAACAGATCACGCCATTGTCGTTAGATTTATAATGAAACTGTTTGTTACAAGCGTGTTTATGTTTCGAACTGACATCGGTGGCGTTATAAAACAAATTGTTTCGCGTACATGGTATTTGTACATGCGGTATGTGTATGTGTGTGTGTACTTGTTCTACGACTGAAACATTGAAAAGAAATAAATGCGTGAAAACGAGGGATGCAATAGAGGAGGAAGAATAATTCGATTACTGAAGCGTTTTTGGAATCGAAAAAGTACTTGCTTGTTAGATCTGTTTTTATTGGAAATATATTGGCGAGGTTTATGATAATCGAGACAATGGCATGATACGTATTTATACGTACAGATGACAACCCATGAGTTGGCGCGTAATTCAAAGTGGAAGAAGCTTACCATCGTAAACATTTGTTACTTTTCGGAAAATAAGAATAATTATAATAACAAATGAATGCAAGGAGCATCATCTCACTCTTTCACTCTTGAGACGTTTGTTATTGTTTTTGGTCTAATTATGTGAGGGCCAATACTGCCGAAAATATTTGTGAGGCGTCCATTTTTCTATTCCGATCAATTTTCTTCTAAACACGTCAGCCTCTTCACGCGCCAAGTTGTGGGTTGACATCGGTACATACGTATAATTTTAGACTGACAAATATTGCAATGGCGGATTTTGAAATACTGATGGCTCGAAATTATTTGACAACAGAAAAATATAGAAAAATTGACGTATTTGTGGTATATCAATTTAAAGGTTCGATAAAAATGTCTACATTCTTAATGTGATATTTATCATAAATATTGGTTATATTGGTAATTCAAATTTTTTAAAAATATTGGTTCCATTGGAAGTGCAAGTTTTTAATAAATATTGGTTGTATTGGTAATTCAAATTTTTTATAAATATTGGTTCTATTGGTAATATAAATTTTTAATAAATATTGGTTGCATTGGTAATCCAAATTTCCAATAAGTATTGATTATATTGGTAACAGAAATATTAAATATTAGTTATATTGATAACCAAAATTTATAATAAATATTGATTGATTGAACATTGAAATACCCAGCGAATAAACTAATTTACAAATAAATATCTTTAATTAACTATAAATTAGTTCAATATTGTCCATTAATCAATGTGCTATTTTCGGTCATATTCTTATACATATACAGGATGATTCAAGAAAAGTGACAAAGCTGTCAAAAATTTTTATTCTAATAAATTATGTAAGAAAATTAAATAATGGACAATTACTAATAATTATTGATAATTAACAATTATTGCAAATTTGTTAACTCTTTGCTTATTTCAATGTTTATGTAGTCTTTTTATTTATACCAAGCTTTAAATTGATATGCTATGACGATAAATTTTTTATATTTCTCTGCTGCTGAACTAAATAATAGTGAACTTCTCATACTTCAAAATTCGCTGTTTGATATGAGGCAATCTAATAATTATTCCATTTATGGTATTGTGGGATTTATGAAGGACTCGAATCACTTCGAATATAAGTCTTCGACTTTAAAAAAATTTCAAAGTGATTTGTGAAATAAAAATTAATAATTTTATAAGATATTTAAAAAATTAACAAAATATGATCCCACAATATTTATGTACAATTGAGAGTATGATAGACTTCTATAAAGAAAGTGATAGTGTCAGAGAAAAAGGCTGCACCATTCGATTTATGGAATTTAAAAATTTAAAAATTTTGGAATTTGAATTTTAGGATTTTAGGATTTAAGATATTAAGGTTTTAGAATTTAGAAATTTGAAAATTTAAGAAATTGGCAACTCAATAAACTGAAAATTTGAGGACTTTGAGATTTGGTAATTTAGGGATTTGAGCGATCTGGGGACGCAAGAGGTTTGGGCATTTGAGAAATTTTCAAGTTTGAGAATAGGAGAATTGAGAACTTGGTAATTAGAAATTTAAAAAATTGTAATATTATGAAATTGGAAATGGGAAAATTGGGAAATGGGAAATGGGACAATTGGGAAATTGAGAAATGAGAAAATTGGGAAACGGGAAAATTGGGAAATGGGAAAATTGGGAAATAAGAAAATTTGGAAATGGGAAAATTGGGAAATGAGAAAATTGGGAAATGGGAAAGCTGGTAAATGAGAAAATCGGGAAATTAGAAAATTGGGAAATAGGAAAATTAGGAAAATTGAGAAATGGGAAAGTTGAGAAATGAGAAAATTGAAAAATTGGGAAAATTGGGAAATTAGAAATTTAGAAAATTAAAAAATTTGCAAACAAAACTTTGACTTCCATGAATCTCAAAATTCCAAAATTTCAAAACTACAAAATTCCCAGTTGCACTCCCCTAAAAACCAAGTTCCTGCATCAAATAAATTCAAAAGGTGCTGCTCCCTCTCCACACTATCCATCCAACCAAAGTCATCTTCCCCCAACTGTACCCACGTATCCACCCAAATAAACCGTCCATATAAAAAAGTTCCGACTAATAAAAATAACAAGCGTGCATCTCTTTCTTCGTGAACAGTATTTCCGGTGACAACGCTTTCCAAGGGAGCATAATAACGGATGATGATAAATGCCAGTAGTAATAATAGTAGTAGGTAGTAGTAACAGTAGTACTAATAAACAATGTAATGCTATATAATAATAATAGCGAGAATAAATAGTAATAACATACAACAATAATTATCATTATTACCGACGTAATAATAATCAACAAACACCAGATAAAAGGCAGTGGTTATTCGCAGTTATAGTTGCGGTGAGCAGTCGTGAGGGAAATGTTCCCAAAAAGCTACGTGTTAGCCAAAGTTACCGAAGGTTCAGGCATACGTTGGATCGACAATAAATTTCGCTTAATAATCGACAATCGAACCAACCTCCAACGCATCCTTTCCCCCCTGTTAACCTTGAAGGTTAGCAGGATTAAAATGTTCGGGCTTGCATCAAAGCACCATGACGTTCTCGTTACGGGGTAAACAAAAAGTCCCTAAAAGTCACCGATACAGCGAAAGTAAAAATATTCCTTTACACCACAAAAATGGAAAAAAAAAGAATTAAATAAAACACGAAATACCACACACAAGTTTCTCAAGTATCTAAAGGTGACCAACACACAGGCACATATTTTGCCACGCATGCATCGTCGAAAACTCGTTTCACCTGTTCAATCAAGCGTCTGGCGCTTCTAATGCAGACCCGAGTGACTGGGTAAAAAACTGGTTACAATAATAAGTCTACCTGTCCGCAGCTGTCTGTGTAGACGACACAGTGAGCGTTTTGGGGGACCACTTGGGCCCCGACAGTGGCTAAGGCTGCTAAGGCGATCCACATGCAGCAAACGAGGCAGTGTTCGGTATGGTTTTTTCATTATCATCATCATATATTATATCATCGTTTTATTTGAAAAAATGTTTAACCAGTTATATTAATCGTATTTTATTTAGAATTTTTTTCGTTTGTCCGGTTTAGTCGTTCGTTACCAGCCGGTCGAATTCGGTGGAGAAAGCACCAAAATGAAAATCGAAGCACGCCGAACGTGCCCTCCGATCACCCAGGTACATATAAGGAGAAAAGAGTATGTTGTTGTTGGTATTGTTGTTGTTGTTGTTGTTGTTTAAATCACCGTGGGTCGTCGCATTGTTGAGGTGTCCACAAATATTTTTTTTTTATTAATATTATTTATTTATGTATGTGTGAACGCAGGATGAAGGGTCGCGTATGAATCATGAGTGTAGGATGAATATTTTTTTTATATCATATAAATAAATTTTTTTTTTTTAATCATGTACCAGGGTGTTACGTAATCGTCGCGGTTGTTATTGTTGTTTTGATGAGCGATGAGCGGACACGGAGACGAGAATGCAGCGACGGTGCACATATATCAAAGCCAGCGTTCGAATGTGTGTGTGTGTGTGTTTGTATGAAAATCGCGACCGGATGTGAAATAAATACGAAGCAGAGAAATTTGTTTCCGTGTGACGTGTAAAAAGAAAAGGGATGAAGGATCGTTCGAGATGATCGGGATGTGATCACAATCGCCACATGAATAACAGTTTTTGTCGGGATTATTTTGGTTGCAAGATTTTGTGGCGAACGTTTCATAGAGATCGAGTCGGTGTGAGTGAACCGGAAGTGAAAGCGTTGACGGGTCGAAATCAAACAGTATGCATGGTAATTTTTCAGTCGAAAGACGTGCGGCGGATATCCAGGCGAGCGCAAGCATGAAACAGAAAATTTAAAGAGAAGATTATAAACGGTCACGCGAGTCAACGTGCAAGTGATTTTTGATTTGTACGTGGACTATGGAATCATTCTCTTCGTTCCTGTATATATTAGGTTGTTGCAAACTTTTTTTTACCATTTTTAAATTAACTTTCAATTACGTATCTTTTGTCAACAATAGTTATAGGGTGATTCAAAGTTTGAGTGTTACCTTTGACAGATTAGAACTTATTAAATAAATTGAAGCGTTTAAAGTTGTATAAGTTTATGATATTTTTAGTTTCTGTTAACTGATACTAAATGTGGTGTCATTTCTGTAATATTGATAGATTGATATTTTTTAGTTAATGGACATATAGTTTACATTTATTTAATATTCTATTTAGCAAGTTTGAATAGAATATGAAATCATGGCAGATGAAATTAATTTAAGCTTTGTATATTTTAAGCTGGTGATTTGCAATTGAATCTGAAGACAAATTACCAAGTTACCAAGTTATAAAGTTAACAAGTTATCAAGTTATCAAGTTACCAAATTATCCAGTTACCAAGTAACTAATTTATCAATTTATCAGTTTACCAATTCACCAATTCATCAATTCATCAATTCATCAATTCATCAATTCATCAATTCACCAATTCACCAGTTTACCAATTTATCACCTTTTAAATTTGCAATTTGTAAACGAATAAACTTATAAGTACAAAAATCATAAAATTTGCTATTTCTAAGTTCTTAAACCCCTAAATTTCCACCTTCTAAGTTTCCAAATTTTCAAATTATTAAATTCTTAAAAAATTGTTATTCCAAAACGGTGTATTCTGACTATTATAATCCTTAACACTAAAAATCTGTCAAAGTTAATACACTCTTTCTTAATTACCCTGCTATTCAATATTTTCAACATTTTTATTACAAAATCCTCAACTGCCAATTTCAACAATCTGCATATTTTACACTTCATATTGCAAATAACATTTAAGCAATATTATATTACAAATTATATTTAAAGATTATCATTTTTTATATTTAAGTAAACTTCTAGAAAACTGATACCTTTCATCACGTCACAAATAGCATTATTTCTCACCAAACAAATAATATCCTTCCAGATAATTTCCGCCCACTTAATAAATTCTAATTACTTTTTCCTTCTCAATTTCAAATATTGAATTTATTTATTTATTCTTCACTGTTAAATGTAAATCTCGAAAGTAAATCTTATCTGAAATTATATTAAAAAAAAGTTTCATTTGCAACAACCTAACATCAAAACGAGAAATAAAATAAATTATCTACATCTATAAAAGTTTCCATTCCTCAATAACTCTAACAATCTCGTATCTCGTCTGCTTAAAGCATCGTCGTGTGAACACGTGTCCGAATGTGTATGTATATATTTATATATATATATGTATACGTGTATGTATCTGTACGTAACACATGCGGTGTTCCCGAGGCGGTCTCCGTAGAAGCCCCTTGTTCGAGTACGAAATTAAAAAGAGAGTGCAAGAAAAAGACATAGAAAAAACAGCATATGAGAAGATAGCAAAGAAACATTTTTATTTTGTTCGTACAATGATAGCGGTGAAAGATACAAAAGAAGAAGAAGAAGTAGAAGAAAGAAAGGTACGATAGCTGAAGCGGCCTCTTAAACGGTTTAATCTACGAACGCGTTCCGTGTGTGCAAGCTTGATCCAACCGGAAATCACTGTGAAGGTGTGTAGGCGCAGCTAATACAACGTACAAGCGATTATCGATCTCGTGTGATCTACAACTAAGTCGTACTGGAACAACAACAACAGAGGTACCACAGTGAATGAATCCATCGAGAAGCTCGTGAATGCTTGAAAGCTTGCGTATGCGACAAAATAAAGTGCTACTGCGATACTTACATCGGAAAGAGTGCTTCACATCGGTTTCTATACGGACGCAGGTGTATATAGATAGAACAGAACCGTAACCCGATATAAACATTCGAAAAATATTCTATTCATTTTGAAAATTTCGATGGTTCTGTCCATTCATATCCACCGAGATCGTTCGTCACACACGTTGGACGCACTTAAAAATGGTGCTGCGGCCATTCGAGTGCAGGTTCCGGGGCTTAATTTACTCCCTCTCTGGTTTATTATACACGTACACATATCTTAAGAAAAACAAAAACTCCTGCAGGCTCTTCCCATTCTCATTTCTCGACGGGGGTTGGTATCACTGATTCACCATTTTTTTTTTATCTCTGCGTAGCACTCTTCTCGCCTTTGAATCGCAAGGCAATTTTTTTGTAAAGCGATCGAAACAGGTGAGGAGGCCTCGGCGCAGTATTATATATATATATATATAAATATACGTGTGAACTTGATGCGATCAAAAGCGTGGATTATTTTTATATATAGAGGTAATATATATATATATAGATAAATACATAGAAGTACTATGCATGTACAGGCTCTGTTTCGGTGACGCTTCCTTTTGGCTAGCCTTTTAGACACCGAGACACGACTCGTGTTGCAAAGGCCTCTCTTCGTGTGCCAAGCAATTACAAAACAATTCAAATACGTAAACGCGCGGACTCTTTTACGCAGGCGATATAGCGAATGGCGAAATAATACATAATCGAAGCTGAATAAGAAGCTGAACGCTGGGCTGTTACTCGAACCGTTGAACGTTTGTTGCGGAGGTTTTAGGGAGGTTTCTTACGTTCGACGGCTCGAGGGGACGTCAGCTGATTTCGAAGAAGGTCAATTTTCACTAACTTTTTCTATTACCCTGTTACCATTTTTTATTTTACAATTTTCTTTTTCAGAACTGAGGAGAATACAATTTTTTACTTTTTCTTATTACTTACCCTTCATTTGTAATTATCGGACAGATTAATTGTCGAGTATACTTACATCTTTTATTTAATTTATTTTTTTATTACTCTGAAGAAAAATGACGTTTATTATGAAACGAGTTTATACTTTTTCTGTACATTTACTATACAATTTCAGATAATAAAAATTATTCTGTGTAAAAAAAAGTTGCTCTCTGAATAAATATAGTCAAAAATAATTTTTGTAATTAAAAATCAATAATAATTATTTGTTTCTTGTTATGAAATCGTTTATATTATTTTTACTCAAACTTTAAATATTAAAATAAAATTTATGAAAATTCTATTCATTTTGATAATTAATTTACTTCTATTAATTTATAATTAATTTACTCCTATAAATTTACACTATTAATTTACTTCTACCAATTTTCAAAATTAAGTTACTTCTATCAATTTACATAATTAAGTTACTTCTATCAATTTACATAATTAAGTTACGTCTATCAATTTTCCCAATTAATTTATTTTTATCAATTTTCACAATTAAGTTACTTCTATCAATTTACACAATTAACTTTCTTCTATCAGTTTTCCCAATTAATTTACTTTTATCAATTTACATAATTAAGTTACTTCTATCAATTTTCACAATTAAGTTACTTCTATCCATTTTCACAATTAAGTTACTTCTATCAATTTTCACAATTAATTTACTCTATTAATTAATTCACAAAATATATCAACTCCTAGTTTTTAATATATGTTCACCTTCAAAGGTATCTAAATCCTGCTTGACTCAAGATCTCCCTAAACATTGCATTTGACTTTCAAATAAAAATAAATTAGCATACATTATTCACCTCGAAAAATCGGTAAATGTATTCCAAGCAAAACTTAATATTTTACATAATAAAATCCGCCATTTTAACTCAGTTCCTACAATTAAATCAGCCATTTTCAAACTTAAACATTTCTTGTGTCAAAATATTTTAAGTAATTCAAAATTATCCCTAATTCTTTTAAACCTTGAAATGTCCCCAACAGTGTTCATCACAAAATATCTTTATACTTGATATCTCACATGATGAATGCAACAAGTATTTTAAACATGTGACATATTAAATTATGTCTACATCGACCTTCTTCGTCAGCAATGATTAGTAAAGTCAAGGATCGGAGAGGAAGTCGAATGTGGCGATTGTCGGTAAAATCACGGGAAAGGACGTTGGATACTGACACGACGAGATATACAGTTAATAATACCTAAATATCACTCCGTGCCTCCGAATTTCGCAACTAAAGCGCAGGAGAAGCTGTGGTAGAGACGAAAAATGTTGAAAATACATATACAGGCCGTTCTACCCGTCCAGCCGTTCCAAGTGCCTTCTTTCGAGCGACGTTCGAAAACGTTCGCAAAAAGCGGAAGACTCTTGGAAGAGGCACAGGCGAGGTATCCTGTACGATACATAATCTTACGGTCAAAAGACACGAGAAAGAGGTAGAATAGAAAATAGAAGAAAACAGATAGACGCTCGTTCTGATGGCGTTCGTCGTAATAATAAAGCGGCTAACATCTACAAGGTTTCAGAAATGACCGTGTGCTTGGCGTCGGCTAGGTGCGCGTCTTAAAAAAAATAACTGTACAAAATGAAAAAAGTACGCGATCGCGTGAAAAAAAATACGCGTATTCGTATTCGACGTGGTAAAAAAAAAGAAGGGTAAAAGGAACGTTTGAAACGTTGAAAAAGTTACGATACAAGCACCAAGTCGAACAGAGATTGTCTGATAGGATATTAAAAACAAGGGAAGCAGGAAGCGAGGCTAAAAATTGTGAGCAATAATTGGCGTAATATATGTATATACATATGTATGGCGAACCTGGGGATAATACGGCGGCCGCGTATATATATGTATACATATATATCACTCTTTGAATATATA